CTCGCCTTAAAGGAGGCAAAATGCCTCCTTTTGTTACCGACTATCCTAGATTTGTATACTATAGTTTACTAAAGTGAATCGCGAAAGGGTAAAAACAATTGCATACACATCGGCAGTTGTTTCCAAAAAAAAATGCTTTATAATATTTCGTCGCCACTGCAATTTCGACGAAGAGTTGTATCTCTCGAATTCCAATTTCTGGAATAGGAGTGGATGACTCAATGGTTTATGATAGGAAATCCTGCGCTTGGTCGCAAACTGAGAGCAAAGCTTCCTCGCTCGTATTTAGGGCCTTCAGATGCAACCGCTTCACGAGACCTACCCATCGAGATATGTTCATGCTCAGGAGTTCAACAAAACCAATTATAAATATATCGATTACGCACTCCGTCAGTTTCAACCGCGCGTATCAGCTTTTGCAACCTCCAGCGTTACATTCCTGTCCTTCTACGTGTCTGCCCAGCAAAAAGTGTACACTACAGACAACGCCAGTGAAATCTACCATACATTGCAAATACGATCGGTCTAAACGTGATTTTTCATCTAAAAAAAAAATTAAACCAATCCATCCAGTATTCTGACATTTGTGTACATCCATTTCAGTATTAATACGTGTGTATTCTAGTGTCTTTTTTGTCCCTTTTAGTTTTTTTGTGCATTCTTAACGGAATTTGTACTGAAACCGCCACTTTTAACCTATCTAATGCCTAGGGGGATATTCTTGTCGCTCGAACTATTATTACTATTATTTTAGATGGAGGATAGTGTTCGGATAGTAGGCAGATTTCATCATCGTTGTCTGCACCTAGGGGTGACGCCAGGATCATATTGAGCGCTAACTGAAACGAAAGATAGCGGTAGCTGTGGTCTTGCTTCCTCTCCATTGCGCGTGTATGTTAGTCGACGAAGCCTATGCCAAATCAATTTAACTCAAAGGTGCTATTACATGGCTATACTGTTCCACTTTAGAAACAATGACAGAGAAATCATCTCCTATCTGAAGTGTGGAAAACATCATACAAAATTAAAGTATTTTGCTCGACAAGAAAACCCGTCCAGCGGTTTGATTAATGACGAAGAAATGGATTTTTTTTACCTTCTTATAGGAGTATGTTACGCATGAGACGACCAAGAAAGTGGCCGTTGTTCTTATTTTACCTAGTGCGGAGTCCTTTGTGCATCTTATTGCCTATACTTCGAAAACGATCCCACTGGTTCCAGATCGTTGTCACGCGGCACATATATACTGTCACGAGTTATAGATGGGGCTCACATCGCCGGATGCAGTAGGTTTTGTAAAACAAAAAGTGTTGGCCTGTCGTGTCACTTGTGTTTCCTCTTGTGGCGTTTCTTTCACAAAAAAAAAATCAA